TGGAGTGGGTGGATGGGGGGTGAGGTGATGGGTGGGTGGGGGGGGCGTGGGAGGGTGGGAGGGGATGGGTGGGGGTGGATGAGGGGATGGGTGGTGGGTGGATGGGGATGGGTGGATGGTTTGATGCGTCGATGAATATACGAGGGATAGGTTATCGAACTGATGAGGAATGAGTCAAAAGACCTTACAGATTATTAGGAATCATAAGACATTTTTTCTGTGTGTGTGTGTGTTTGTATATGTGTAATAATGTATGTGTTGTGTGTGTGTGTGTGTGTGTGTGTCTGTGTGTTTGCGGTGCATGTGTGCAATGTGTGTATGTGCATGCCTGCATACGTGCGTATATGTACGCACACACATATAAACGCATTAACACTTATAAATCCACAGACACACAAATCAGGCAGATACACAGAGCCACAACTCTCACCCCTTTTTCTCCTCTCCACCACAGCCAGCATCCTTCTTGTAGCCTCCCTCTTAGCCCGAAGGGAGTCGGCCAGTACTGCGAGATCCCCTCAAGCCAGGCGGCCGAGGGTGGGTGCCATCTACCCGGTGCCAGGGTCGGGGCGGGGCCGAGAAGGTGCCAAGTGCCAAGTGGAAGATCCTCCTCCACCTTATCAGGGCTTGGATACCTCGCTTCCTCCTTATGCTTGTGTAGTGTGAGAGTTTTTTTTATTTTTGTTTATTTTTATTTTATTTTTTTTTATTATTTTTTTTTGGGGGGGAGGGGTTTTTTTGTTTGTTTGCGGTTGTGTTTTGGGTTTGTGAAAGTTTTTTTGTTTGTTTGTGTAGATTTTCTTTTGTACGTGCTGTCTTTTTTTTGTTTGTTTGTTTTTCTTGTTTTCTCTTCTCTTCCCTCTATCTGTCTTACTTCTGTCTCTCTCTCTCTCTTCTCTCTCTCTCTCTCTCTCTCTCTCTCTCTCTCTCCTCTCTCTCTCTCTCTCTCTCTCTCTCTCTCTCTCTCTTTCTGTTTGTTTGTGTGTGTGTGTGTGTGTGTTGTGTTTGTGTGTGTGTGGGTGTGTATGTGTTGTGTGTGTGTTTTAAGTATGGCGAGGCTTTCTTATTCATTATACTAAGAATGTAACCACCAAAGAATTATACTTATATACAAAGAATATAATCTTTACTGTTAAATCTATTTATGTGTGTTTTACAAAGTCTGTTTCATATTATCAAAAATGTAAAAATGTAACATTTGTATCTAATAAACTGAATTATAATTGATGTGAGTTTATCTCGAAAAACGTTTCCATATTCTAAGTATTATGGCAATAAAAGAGATAAGAATTAAGAACAAAAATACAAGATATATGATATAATCAATAAAAAATAGAATAAAATAAAATACATACACACAAATTGTATATTATGTTTTCTTTGATATCGTCAGCGCATTTTTTGCCATACATCACACACGTTAAATCCCTGTTAATTTGGCGAAAAGAAGGATTAAAAAAAAAGGAATATTGCAGCATTTTTTTTTTCGAAATTCATGTTAAAAATATCTCTTTTATCCTACGAGGTGACCGTCATATATCGACCCCCGTGTTAAAGAGAACCCCGTGAAATAGAGACACCCCACACCTATTGAAAACCTTTACAGATATTTTATATATTTATCTGTTCATTCACTTATCATTATTATCATTATCATTATCATTATTTTCATCATTATCATTATTGTTTTTATTATTGTTATTACTGGTTGTTATTATATTATCATCATTATTATTGTTAAATTATTATCAATATTGTTGTTACTATTATTATCATATATTGATTGTTATTATTATTATTAAATAGTTGGTGTTATTATTATTATTATTATTATCATCATTATTGTTATTATTTTTTATTACTATGTTAGTAGTAGTATATGTAATAATAATAATGATGATGATGATAGTAATATAATAATAATAATTATAATGATAATAATAATATCATAATAATAATGAATAATAATAATTATAATAATAAATAATAATAATAATAATAATAATAATATAATAATAATAATAATAATAATAATAATAATAATAATAATAATAATAATAATAAATAATAATATCACCATCATCATAACAACAACAATATAATAGAATAGATATTATTAATATTAACATTATCATTATCATCACTCTTATTATCATTTTGTCTTCTCGACCACATGCCCAACATCTCGCCAAAATACATATTTCCCTTTCCCTCTTTCTCTCCATTTATTCCTCCCCTTATCTCACCCTCATTCACCCTCATCCTGACTCACACTAACATGTCATTTCCTCCTCTTCCTTATCTCTTCATCATTATCACTTCTTATCAATTCTGGACACGATAGAAGATAAATTTGTTATCAGTATTCCCTCCTCCTGTGCAACCACATCAGTGATCACTGTTCACTGTTCACTATTCACTCTCCTCTCCTGAACTCCGTGCTATTAAGGTAATAACAAACATTCACAGTTCATAACACGTTATAACGAATTGTGTAAAT